TTCCCAGGGCCTTGGGGTCAGGATGAGAAGAGTTCCCAATCTGATGAGCTATAGAATATCTCAGTCCTGATCCCCATTGTATGGTTTTAATATGTTTTGTATTGGTTGATTATGGTTTTCCTTTCTTTTCTTTTTGTATGCAGCCCAGAGTCACATGATCTGAGCAGCCATATACACTTTAATAAATAAAGCAAGTCTGGCTGTGTATTTATGTTTACAAACATTCCATTTTTAAATTGGTTTTGTAACATAAATGGCCCAATTGAATGCCAAATTCTAAAATAAGATTATAATGGCATTATTATATATGTTGCACCATTTACATTTTACAAAATCAAATAAATAACAGTGTCTAACCATCCTTGTTAGGGCAAAACATTTGAAGGATACCAGTCAACCTGGTCTAACTTAAATAAAGTATGTAGGTCCAAACATTAATACAGAAGCCTGTGTATTCCCAGGAATGAAATGGAGAAGAGTCACCAGCCACATTCACCAATTCCACAACAAAGCAAACAAAGCAATTGTTATTTGTATATTTTGATACTTTCTATACCTTTACGACCAAAATACAATGTACAAAATCCTGCAAAACCTTTGGCATATACCTCTAAACCGGATGTGGTACATGCACATTCCCCTTGCCCATAATTTTGTGGGGATTTGGGAAGGTTAAATGGGAAACACAGGAGTTTTAAGGAGCAAAATCAATGCGAGGTTTAAGAATTTGGGAACTTTTAAAGAGGTAGAAAAATGCAAGACAAGCCTCAATGTAATCATTGACTCTTTACATTAATCTCCTAGAGTGTGGTGATTATATGTGGGATAGAACATCACATTAAATAAGTAACCAAAAATAAGTAAAAATTCAGCCTCATTTACTCCAGTGACATAATTCAATCACTTGCTCTTGTGACCAGTCCCCAGGAAAAATAAAAGTCAAAATTCACCCCTATGGCCGTAAAAGATTGCCACTTGCCCTTGCTCCACTATTCTACAACAGCTACTCACTGATGCTATCACATACTCCTTTCTTGTCCACTCTTGCCTCCATTACTTTTCTCTCCTTCTGTGATCTCTTTTTGCTCTACTAATAGATGGTAAGGCGCTTCAGGCAGAGAGACCTGCTCTCTGAAGTACCAGATACATAAATCAGATTGGGTCAACAACCACCCCTTCAAGAATACTTACGCAATGCTATGTGAGTAGCATCTGCTAAAGGATAACCTCGTTTCACAGTGTTTATCACGCAGAATCCCACTGAGGACATTGCTTGCTCCCTAAAATTACATTGGTAAAGAATGATTTCAGCAAGGCATAAGAACATTAATTTTATTAAGTCAAAGCATATTCACGCCAATTTTCCTGCATGTATTTATTTAGGGTAGCACAACTATGGTGATTAAGATCAGAGTCAAAGTTGGCAGACAGGTCCTCTGGTCTACTTACAGAATTAAAAATGGAACAAGATTCAGAGATGATTTAATAGCCATGTATTGTGGATGGAGAAAATGGCTGTTCTGAAAAGTGTAGAGTACAGAAATAGTTTTGAGGAAGGAATGCAAGAATTGATGTTACATAAACATCATTTCACCCCTTAAAGAGTGGAGTGGGTGAGAAAGAAATATAAGATTATCTCACCTTGATATATCAGGGAGGAAGCAGAAACTCTGTCAAGCTTTTAAGATTCTCTTATTATACCCTGCAACAACAGAATTCCACTAACCCTTCTAGAGTCTATTTCCTGATCTGGCCTACCTCAAAGGGCTGGCAAAAAAGGGTCATTTGGATTTCTACCTGCTTCATGTTGCTCTTAGATATGGGAAAAGGGAGAGATGGTATTATAGCCATGCTTGATTTATAAATAGGTTTAATTATTACTAATAGAGCAAAAGGTAGAATTTGGATCAAAGCCTAAAAAATTTGGCAAAACTGGAACAGATAAAAATAAGATTATATGCAAATTCCTCATTATACAAGGAAATTACAAGCAAAAACATTAAACAGGACATGGTTTAACATGACAGGATTAAAAAAAAACAGCAAAAGAAAAGTAAATGTTCAACTATTCTGGATGGATAAAATGGCTGTGATGATTGTCATGATTGTCTGGATCTGATTACTGATTTCATGGAGTAAACTAAATTCAAACAAACTTATAACAGATTAATTTCTACTTAATATGAATTCTGTGAAGCTTTCTACTTTAGATCCCTTGGTCAATCTCACCCCTGTCCCCCCACCATCAAGTCCAGTAAGTCAATATTGGTCCCAAGGAATAGAATACTATTGTGATGGAATGGAATTATGAAGGCCAGACTCAGGGAGAAAAACGTTTTCTTTCATCTCCTGAGGCGCGAGGGAAAGATAAGAGGATGAGACTGGCACCTCTCTGAGGAATTCATAATTTAGAGTCTGGGAAGATTGATGTCAGGCCTAGCCCAAGGAACTCCAAGAGACCATGTAAATTCAGTCCAGCAATGTTTATTAGCTACAACCTCTAGCA